TTATTTTAAAATATTGTCGTATAACGTGTCAATTTTCTATTTGTCTTTCAGTCATTTGACGTGGGTCTCTATGCATCCTAAAAATAATTCCGGTCAGTGACTAGTTGGACTAGATTCCACAGGAAATCCTGTTGAAGAAGGTAACCGTTTTAGTTATGAAATAGACAAAATGTCACATTGTTTTAGCAAAAAGAAAAGACCTGACTTTGAAGTCCATTTTGGACGAGCTGTCAGTTCAGATTCTATCGTGGGTTGACTTCTGAACAGCATAAAGGCTCATAACAGCAAACCAAAGACCAAATGTGTTTTTATTAGTTCTCTAAATCTAGTTGGTCGGCATCCTTGAAATAAGGGTTCTGTTTCTGTTACGTTTGTATTTATGACACGAGTGCTGGAGCCTGTTGCTGCTGTGTTTGTGTGTCTTTTGCTAATCATCGTTCCCCCCAAACACGTAATTATCTATTCATGGCCAAGGAAAGCTTCTGTTAAGCTCTGCACCAACATCGGACTGTTTCTGTTAAGACCAACATGCGCGTACTTACAAGTGAGCTGGTTTGGAGACACACATTTACGAATGAACGGACAGCAGTTGGCCATCTGCACAGACACCCCAATACGCATCCCTTATCGTTCTGGTTTGTCCGAGAGCGAATCCAGCTTCCCTAACAGACATCTTCTTTGTGTGAGCTTAGGATATTGGCATCGCTGCCGGCGATTTTCTCACAGGCGGAACCAATGCCACCAGTCCGACCGTTATTAACCAGTTAGGTTTATCATGTTGATTAGGACTCATTAAACATTGTAGCCGTCACGTCACATGCCGAAATGAGCCCACTGAGCTATGCAGTAATGAGTGGCGAGAATTAACGATGGATTCTAACCCGTAACCAGTCGTCATCTAAGCTACTTGAAAGCGACTCTTCAGTGGATTTCGTCTGTCGGCATTAACGTGGTGATTTTTACAAGCAAATCTTTTTAAAGGAGCGATTAAAGATGCCGTAGTGGGGAAACTATATGTTCTTATTGCACTGCCAAAACTCTGCATTATAAGGACTATGGTCTTCGCCAAGATCCTTCACTGAACATCAGACACCGGGGTCACCCTGCAGCCGCGAGGGACTCGGTGTCACAGATCTGCTGCTATGCCGCTGCTGTTGGCCCTTGGGGGTCAGTCAGCCATAAATAAGGCGAAACGTGTTTCTCCACAGAGGCTGCGCTTCCTCTATCTAGGAACAATGACTACAGTGTTATGCCCTTTCTGTCACACTGTCTCCCCTTTTTGGCGCCGATGGCTGGTCGCTTTATAATTTGTACGGAAAGTGGATTTTGTATTTGTCTTATTTAATGACTAAGAGAAATAAATCTCTTAATATATCTGTTACTTGTGTTACTTGTGTTTCCTGTTGCCAAATGACTGCATTCATTGTGCAATGTACAATAAATGAATTATAAGTGCTGTATGTGGGACCTCTTTCAGGACAGCTGGAAAATCATCCCAGGAGGTCACCTAATGAAACTGGCATAGAGACGTGTGTGTATGTGTGTAATTTACATCTATATATAGCAAATTTAGCATAATGAGACTATATTCATTAAAGAACCATTTATTGTTATTAAATTACAATTTGAAAACATAGCCATTGTAATTAAAAACATAATATACATTTACAAATATACAGTATAAAACATTATAATACTTAAGCTTTGTACCCAAACACTGAGGATGCATTAGCACTTCAACACATGACAGCGCTAAACGTGACTAGCATAGTTTTGCTCAGCCTAGTATGACAGCATGAAGGAAAACAAAATGTTGACACACTTGTATGAGATGCCCATCATACCATTTTCCTGTTGTCATGTTTACAAGCCTGAGTAATCCAGTAATGTTATTGCTGTTTCGTCATTTTCAAAAATCAGAAACCGTACTCAGACAAAGGCTGTCATTTCAGTTCGCTTTGGTTTTCCCATCATGCTCTGAGCACAGGATTCTTTATTTGACGTAGCCACATGGCTTTGGCACAGCCCACAACAGATCACAGCTTCTACAGATACAGCACGTGGGTGCTTTTTATTGGAAAACCACTCCCCAGTCACAAAAAACAAACGAGGCCCAGACTTGGCCTGACCCACAGAGCTCAGCTTTCACAGAGCTCAGCTTTCACAGAGCTCAGCTTTCACAGATCAATCGCAGGGCCTCGGCCTTTGGCTGTCATTCCTGCGTTTGTGGGTTACGCTCAACACATTTCACATCACTCATAGCCGGCAACGCCTGACTAATGAACTCATAATTAAGACAAACTGAAATTTATACAATTATTTGAGATGTAGAAATTAAATTATTAATCTATTTTAATTAGAGCCATGGTATATATAATAAAATATATGTAACGTATCACGCATCAGTTGATACGGATACGTAATACTAGTACAATCGAACCCAGTACTTAAGAGGCGGGTAAAAATGAAAGCCGTCATACACTGTGGTACCTGAAGATCAGGCTTGTCCTCCCAAACAGAACTCTGCCTGCTATTTACTGCTGAGTATCTGACCGCTTCTCCAAGAAACTCCCTCAACTTTCTGGCTCGTCCACTTCCTCGATGGACCCCTGATGTAGCGTTCCAGTACTGGTGTTGCGAGAGTCCTCTCTGGAGTAGGCGGCCCGCTTGGATTCAGGGATCTGTAGCCCCAGCTGGCGGATGGACTTGCACATGGGACAGGGGAACTCGCACAGGCCCTCGATGTCCAGGAAGGCCAGGTTCACTATGTGGTCCATGCAGGAGTCGCAGTACATGTGTCCGCAGCTCAGCTGCTTGAAGTAGGCATTGTAGGAAATGCAACTCTGGCAGTGTGGCTGCTCCGGGCCCAGGGAGGAGGTGCAGCTCTGCGAGCGACTGTCACGGCCATCCACCTGGCTCAAGACGTCCCTGCTGGCAGACCTGCAGAGGGAGCAGTGTGGACAGCCACCGTCATATTTAACGGCAACAGGATGCTTCCACACAGCACACTACAGTCACCTGCTAAGTTCTCCAGTATTTCTTAATAAATGCAAATTATTATATTACCACTTAGAATCAGAGGCGTAGGGACAGGACTGGCCCAGGGCCCCGAGGGCAGCCGATTACATAGTACATTGTAACTACAAATCTGCTTTATTTATGTATCCTGTTTTTCACAATAAAATGAAAATAAAGGAATTGTGTTTATTATATTCTCTTTGTTGATATTATTCATTTACACTGCACAGTAAAATAAAGGTAATGCATTTCACCATGCCAGGGGAGGGTGCGCTGGGGGGGGCTCATGGAGTTTTTTGCTAGGGCCCCCGGTGTCCCTAGAATCGCCTCTGCTTCTAATTCCTTTGACAACCCTCAATAAATGTAATTTATGGGATTCTACCTTGCTACGGATCTAATATACATCCTTCCGCATTGTGTAGAGGGTTTGATTGTGCTGACGTTAATGATGTAGCCTAATCTGATTACCCCGATATTTATTTCAGAATATTACAAGTTTTATACGCTACAGGTAAGACCCCAGCGAGTATTGTTACTTTTCGTGAAATATTCTGGCGCATGAAATGCCACAATTTATCCAAATTACTAAAAACAAAAGTGGTTGATGATATATGAGGTTATAATCTCCTGAGTGGATACAATTGTGTCCGACAGTCATAGGCCTTTGAAAAATAAACCCCTTACGTGTAAACCGTAAGCAAAAACTGCGTTAATTACATCGTGCTCGCTCGTTTTGAGACAGGTGCACATCTAACCCCGGTGTCGCTGTAGGAGCAGTAAGTGAAAGCTATGTCAAACAGAGTTTCTGTTTTGCTCCCAGAATGGAATAAATGGGCTACATTCATTATGCCGTGTAACTGTGTATAACAGCAAATTAAGCTGTGAATCCGATACGTGGATCAACCACATCAGTCAATGAATGAATTAAATACATTTTTGGAATTCTTTCATTTAAGGTGCGTATTTTTGTCTATCACGCTTAATGAGTATGTTGTATTTATTCTTGCACTGGTAAGTTTGCAACGAATAGGCGATATAGGTAAAATACGCACCTCTGTGTCGATGTTGTGCGCCTCATACAATCAAAGCCCATTACTGACAAAATTCTCCGTAACAGCTCCATGCTGATACCTCTCATAGTGGTCCTAGCAGCCGCCGGTGATAAGACGCAGGTCCATATCCAAGGAAATAAGCATCGTGGTATATTAAGGATTTTGATTATTATAAACGGAACCAGGGAAACCCTCACGCTCTTTTCCGTTTTTCTGGCATTTTTATGCCTCGCGTTGGCTTGTCATTAGAGATGCGAAGTGTAACAAAACCGTCCCACGGTATAACTTACTAGTAAACAGCTCGGTCAGCGTGACTTGACTTGCCACCCTAAAGTAACGTGAAATTTCACAAGAGCTAAACTTGTTCTGAAACCGGTACAGCTAGATTTCTATCTTAAACTATCGTAACTTGGCCTACAGAAACTTGAAAACAGTCAATGTGGTTGCTATGGACCATGTTTTTACCGTTAAAATTTAAAGAAGGAAAAGGAATTAAGTCAGAAAGAAATTACACAATAACGAATGTGGAGTAATATGTCATTTGTAAAATCAGACTATGCAAGCCAGTCGGATATGGTAATGTTTAGAGGATGTCAGTGTCCTGGAATCCTGCTGGACAAGTTTGCAGACAACAGATATTGAACATCATGTCCGTATTTAATGCAGCCTGGATTTTTCAGTTAAAAATATGGGCTAAAAGTTGACTAACTCATGACTGAAGAAAGATTCCAAAACAAAACGCATACCTCTCAAACACAGTATTAACACTTATCTGGGAGGCTAAAGAAACGGAAATTTACAATTGTCCATCATTGTGCAGATCTTCATCTGATAAACAGAAAAACTAAGCGAGGTATACCTTTGTAAACGGCACATCTGATTTGTGACCTGCATAAGATTAACATCCCTTGCAACAGAGGGCAGTAGAGGGCATGTCATGCTTCCTTTGAATCTTTTTCCGGAAGTGGACGTTCAGCGAGGAAGCGCGCTTCCGGCAGACGTCGTTTGCACGCCGTGTTCGACATGGCGGCGGGACCAATTTCGGAGCGAAACCAGGGTAATATTCCGCAAACTTGATTTGAAGTTGTTGATTAGATAGCAGTTCTTTGGTGAAAAATGTTTATTATTATAATGTGGCTACAATAGAAACTGAATTTATTTTTTTCTGTTTTCACTGGATATCCTTGAGCAAGTCAGTCGCATTCATAGGCTAATTTGCTAATGAGCTATATAAAAAGAAAACGACCAATTACTTGGGCTTTTTTAGATCACAGATGCTCAAATAGCAGCTGGTCACTAAATGGCCGAGGAAAATATGTAAGCATAACTACCAAGGTGTTGAGGTAGTAGTAAACCCGATATGGTAAAGTCACTACCTCATACTGTCCATTGTTTGTTTTCAGCAGGCTGTGTGCGCATTTTCATTGGAATATTCAGAGCCCAAGGCTTTGTAGTGTGTGTAGTGGACATGTTTGCTGTAATCCCGTATTTCTCTCTAATGACTCCTATGCCCCATCGCTAATCCGGCCATACCACTGGTTGCTGTGTTTCTTTTTTGCAGACGCCACGGTGTACGTGGGTGGCCTGGACGAGAAAGTGTCCGAGCCGTTATTATGGGAGCTGTTTCTGCAGGCTGGGCCGGTAGTGAACACGCACATGCCCAAGGATAGAGTGACCGGCCAGCACCAAGGTTAGTTTTGGTTGTTGGGATTACTTAGCAATATTGTGTTATGCGGACTGTATCACTACACCGGCAGCAAGTGGTGTAGGATGGTTTCGTCAAAAACGCCAAGCAAAAGTGAGACTTTCAATGGTTAGTTAAGGGGAAACTTTTGGCATAAATTCCAGAAAGCAGAAATGTTATTAATGGTGAGAGTGTAAGTCAAAAGTCAATTATCAATATTCTACCTGCTGTTTTAGATAAAATTGTTAGCTAATCTCTGCAAAGCTTGCTTTATGGTCTTCATGAAATTCAGAAACGTGACCCTCCTGTTGTGTAGGATATGGGTTCGTGGAGTTTCTCAGTGAGGAGGATGCCGATTACGCCATAAAGATCATGAACATGATAAAGCTTTATGGGAAGCCCATTCGAGTCAACAAGGCCTCAGCACACAACAAGAACCTGGACGTGGGGGCCAACATCTTCATTGGCAACCTGGACCCCGAGATCGACGAGAAGCTCCTGTACGACACCTTCAGCGCCTTCGGCGTCATCCTGCAGACCCCCAAGATCATGCGTGACCCCGACACCGGCAACTCCAAGGGCTACGCCTTCATCAACTTTGCCAGCTTCGACGCGTCAGACGCCGCCATCGAGGCCATGAACGGGCAGTACCTGTGCAACCGGCCCATCACTGTCTCCTACGCCTTTAAGAAGGACTCTAAGGGCGAGCGCCATGGCTCAGCGGCTGAGCGCCTGCTCGCTGCACAGAACCCGCTGTCCCAGGCTGACCGACCGCATCAGTTGTTCGCCGACGCCCCGCCGCCCCCATCGGCGCCGACGCCGGTCCTCACTGCGCTCGGCGCTGGGATCCCCATGCCAGGTTAGTCCGAGGCCCCGCCCCCTTCACAGGAAAATCTCTCTGACCAGTTTTTTTCTCACTCTCTCTACCTACTTTTGCATCACAGTGATTATCCCACAGCTTGTTTTTTTGCCTTGACTTCCTGTTTTGTCACACTACCAGTCGTGATTGATTTATGGAGTCGTTTCCCTTAATGCACATTTCCCACTAACAGAATCCATGTCTGCTTCTGTGCTACATTTTATGTATATATATATACATACAGCCTCTCCCAGGTTATGATGGGGTTACGTCCCGATAAACCTAATGTAACAAACACACTAGCCTAGCCTGCCTTAAACATGGTTAGAACATTTAAATCAGCCTACAGTTGGGCAAAATTATTAACTCAAAGCCTATTTTATGAAAAATAATTTATTGAACAGTACCGAAACATTTACCCATTATAAAGTTGAAATATCGTAAAACAGACCATTATAACCCGGGGATTGTCTGTATACACACACACACACACACACACACACACACACACCTCATCTGTACCTGTCATCATTGACATCATAACATTTCACTAAGGATAACTTGCCAGCTGCTGTCCTCTGTTCCCAGCCTTTGATACACACCGTGGCAAAGTTGCTTCCTCTAAATGTTTGTTTATTGCTGCGGCTTTAGACCAAGGGGGTTTGGGGTTTTGAGCCGCATTCCTCCTCTCGTCCCTCACCTTGGATTTTGTCCCGGCAGGCGTGCCCCCTCCCGGTGCGTTCCCTCCTGTGCCGCCCCCTGGCTCCATGCCCCCAGGGATGCCCCCAGGGATGCCCATGCCCCCAGCCCCAGGGACTCCAGGGCCTCAGGGTGGGGCAGGAGGCCCCCCCCCTGGGCCGCCCCCCTTCCCTCCTGCAGGCATGCCTCCCCCAGGTAAGTCACCTCTCACCGTCCTCGGTTAGGTTATGATTAAACTGCAGAAATACCTTCTAAATAATAATAAAATCCTTTATTTTATATTTTCAAATGCGAAAGTGTGGCTCCCCTGGAGCTGGGGGTTAAGAGCCCACGGACATGTGACTGCTCTGCTGAGGCCGGGGCTCAAACCAGCAACCTTCCGATCACAGGCACAGAGACTGAGCTGCTCACTGCCCCATTTCTGTATGCATTTAGTTATACTGTATAGTTATACTGTAGGTTAACACTGTTTGCCGATCGTATGGGTTTTTCAAAATATTACTAGTAAATAGTAACTGCTATGTCCCTTTGGGGGGCGCTGTCTTGCTGAGTGGAGCTGTGTTGTGGTTAGGGCTGGCCGATATGGAAATAATATCACTATTTTTTTCATGTCAGTTTTTAAATTTTGTTTTGCAAGTTACTTAACAGTACAACCAAGTTACTTCACCTATTTAAAAAGATAAGCCCCTACAAGGTAATAAAACCTGTAAGAAAAACATACTCAGCATAATCTTTCATGTGTTTTCTGTTGTGATGATGAAAAAGATTTGTCATGCTGCCATCTGACATGAAAACCTTGTTTTTGCAAATAACTGTTTGCCCCATGTTGGTTTTGGAAAATCCAAACTGGTTCCATGTTATCAGTGTCGAATTCTTTTTAGGGGCCAACTCCTCCATGTGTTTCCTGCCGCTGCGTTGCCCCATAGGGAATGTGTTGCATGTTGGGACGAGGGTGCGACAGGGAGAGAGGAAAATTAAAAGGCACTGCCTGCTGTTTGCTGTTACCGGTTTACTGGTGTGTGGAAATGGATTTGGAGGACAAAACGGCTTTAGATCCGTGAATGAGCCACAGAACTGCACTGGATAGAATGTGCACTTTAGCCTGATTTCTCCATAAAGGCAGATCACGGAGATGTTTTAATCGTTCACCATCTAGTATGGTCAAATCACGCTCCCATGGTTGTGGTTACCGTGGTTACCGTGGCTCTGCGTTCACCTCTCTCTCTGCCTTGTGTGTCTTGCAGGAATGCCCCAGATGCCCATGCCCCCCCCTGGCCCGCCAGGGATGGTGCCACCTCCTCCGGGTGCCAGCCAACACCGCGCCCCCCCACCACCGGGCATGCCCCCCGCCCCGCCCATGGGCATGCCCCCGAGGGGCCCCTTCGGCCCCCCCATGGGTGAGTTTCTTTTCCCTCCCCAAGTTGTGATAACTTGCCAGTTAATGAAAATTGCGAGAGAGAGAGTAGGGAACCAAAACGTCGGAAGATGGTGCCAGTGAGGAGACGAGCCGGCGCGTGTGTACGTGTGCGATGGCACGGGGCGATTAGTGCGACGTTTGACTGAGCCCTGTCAGTTGTAATTGCGCCTCATTCTCAGTTCCATGCTGTGACTGACCCACTGTCTGTCTTTCCTGGCCCAGGTCCCCCAGTGCATCCTGGGATGCGGGGACCCCCTCCCATGCCCCCACCGGGATACAGCGGGGGCCCGCCCCGGCCTCCTCCGTTCGGCTTTCAGAGGGGGCCCCCCATGCCCCCGAGACCCCCTGCTCCGCCCCGGGGCCCTATGAGAGGCCCAATGCCCCCTTAGTCTCTGTATTTTATACTTTGAGTCTTTCTCTTGTCAGAATCAGTCTGCTCCACAGCTTCCTAGTTTCTTTTATTATTTTTGTCACTGTACAGCATTCGGACGTGAGGAATAAAGCTTTTAATAAAAATTGGTCTCTTTTATTAACTAGCTTTGATATGGACTTCCCTGGATCAAAATTTCATTTGAGTTGTGATGTTATTCTTTAGATAACTTTTTAAATTGAACACCACTGGTAATTTTAGTGACCTTTAAAAACAAATGTATTATATCACAGTAAAATTACTCTCTTGGGACCATAAACTAAGATTGTGGTGACTATATTTTTTGAATGAAGATACTTATAATGTTTTTTTTCCCCTCTTTGAATGTCTGGCAGGAGAGGTGGACAGAAACCAAAGCTGTTGTGCTTTTGGCGATGAGATTAAACTTTGTTTGACATCACAGCTATTTGTGAATGAATCACACCCATAGGTGTCCCCCGTGCAGGAGATGCACGATGCACCTTCCACAATTTACCTGGGAGACATTAGTCACTGACTGCTTTATCCCTGTTTCCATTGGTTAACTTGAAGGGGCAGTTCCCCCCTAAATTGAAAAAAGATGTATTTTAGGGGGGCTTTAGCACTATCTATCTATCCATCTAGCTGGTTCTGCTGGGAGTTGCTTGCTTTTGGAGATATCGGCCGTAGAAATGTCAGTCTTCTCGAATATAATGGGACTGAATGGGGTTCTTTCTCTGGTTAATGTGGCAAAAAAAGTACACTGGAAAATTCCATAGCAACATCTCAACAGAAATCATGACTCAAGACTTGGTTATTCAAGATAATCCACAGACTTCGTAGTGAGCAGTTTAATGTAGGAACTGCTTTCTTCTACACGTCGGTCGTAACACTGCGCAGAATGTAACGCCGGAGTGTGGCCCAGCTGACTCGGAATGTTACCAGCTCGAATCCCATGGTCTCCAGAGGGATTTTCATGCACAGACCCTTAACCCCCAAAATTAGGGATATTTAGTTCTTTAAAAATATCAACATATCAATATTAAATCTTTCAAATCATATCTGTAGATAAAGGTGATGTAATTATAGCACCTATGCAAGGACAAGAAACATTCACTTATTTAACAGAAGAAATTAACTATGATGCCAATTTCCACTGAGGAAAAGTTTGGACACTCTCACATCCATCACTATTTAAAATGCTTAGAGTTATATTCTGGTTACATTATTTAAACCATAGACATTTAGCTTGGTTTGCTCTTTATTGTTGAAATGAGTGGTATCACCATGGTGAGATCCAAAGAGCTCTCTAAGGTCCTCAGAAAGAGGATTGTAGATGCATATGAGTCTGGGAAGGGGTATAAAAAGATCTCAAGAGAGTTTGGAATCAGCCATTCCACTGTCTGGAAAATAATTTACAAGTGGAGAACATTTAAATCAATTGCCAACACGGCCAGGGCAGGTTGTCCTAGCAAGTTCAGCCCAGGAGCAGATCGCAAGATGCTGAGAGAAGCCTCCAAGAATCCTAAAATGTCATGACGGGACATACAGGAAGCTCTTACCACAGCTGATGCCAAGGTACATGCATCTATCATGAGAAAGCGACAGCGCAAGTTTGATTTACATGGAAGGTGTGCATGGAGGAAACCCTTGCTGTCAAAAAATAACGGGCCAAGACAAGTTTGCCAGAGACCATCTAGACCAGGAGTCGGGAACCTGCCGCTCTTTGACCACGTGACTGTGGATCTTCTCAGAACGATAGCCGCATTCACATTTTTATGTCTTAACATAATTATGATAATACTTTCGTAAAGAAATTATTTATTTATGGGTTAATATTATTTTTAATTTAGATATTTCTTTAGCTATATGTGAATGAGTCAGTCCGCTTCTTAACTGCATAATTTGCATCTTCCTGAAAATCATTCGCTAAAACGAGATTACCTCTCTGGTTAAATGGTCTGCTTTCCGGAGTTTTCTTAAGCACCTGAGATTGGATGTACGCTTCAACATTTATTGGGATTCCTAATTCTTTCATGTACTTTTTGTAGTAAATCGTCACGCCTTCCCAGGTCTTCGTAAAAATTACATTTTCTCCGATTTATATATAATAGCCAGCTGAGTTGTGACTACATTTGCACTGCTCGTCAGCACAGCAGTAGTGAAGGAGAGTGAAGGCCAGACGACTGCAAAGACGAACGAAAGAAGGGATGAGGGTGAAGACTATCGCTACACAACTGAACAATGATGTAATATTAGTCACCTTTGCGCTGTTACGCGTCCGAGTGATTTAAAACTGATGCCCTCCGACACTGGTTTTCTTTATTTTTTGTACTTGAACTTGAACTTTTGTTTTTGTATTAAATGCATATGTGCCCCTATCACATTAAAAAATCGTGTCTCAAACCCCCTTCTTTAACCATTGCGGCTCATTGTAAATCTTGGTTTTGATATTTAGGAAAAAATGGCTTTTTGCTTTAAAAAGGTTGCCGACCTCTGATCTAGACAAAGACTAGGACTTTTGGAACGATGTGCTTTGGACAGATCAATCTAAAATTGAATTATTTGGACACAATAAAAGAGGTCATGTTTGGTGTAAACCAAAAAGATTTTGAGCAAAAGTACCTCATACTAGCTGTGAAGCTTGGGGGTGGAAATGTCATGGTTTGGGGCTGTTTTGCTACAGCAAGACCTGGCCAGCTCACCAACATATAATCCACTATGAAATCTTCATCGTATCAGAGGGTGCTTGAGGACAATGTGTGTTTTTGCATAGGTAATGCAATTATGTCACCTTTATCTATACAAATATAATTTGAAACAAAATTTAATATTGGTATGTTTATTTTTTAAAGTACTACATTTTTTCACATGACTGTGTGTGTATGTGTGTGTGTGTGTGTGTATATATACACACACATACACACACACATACTTTTTGGATAACAGCTCCTGCTAAATAAATGTAAAAATAAAGGCATTACAAAGTCATCCCTTTGTCAGTGAGTCTCAGTAGTAACATTTCAGATACACAAGCTTCTCACTCCCATTTATGGTTTATAGGCAGAGTTGAGTGCTCTTCGGGGGGGAGGGGGGTGTGATATAGCTTGGGGCAGGACAGCAGTTGTCCCTTATTGCTGGGATTTAATCCTTTGATTTTGAAAGTGATCATGAAATCTACCATCACTCCTTTATGAAAGCGGGTGTTTGCTAGGAGGGCCTCCAAATACTGACTGCTTAGTGCAGGTATGTGGCCTGAAGCTGCTATTGCTATAAGGTGCGGTTATGCCGTGTTGTTTTTGTAGCATATATCTACCGTGGTGTAAACCTGATTCACACTCATTGTTGCCTTTGTTCAAATGATCCACAGAGGAAGTGACATCTTCCAGTTTCCCGGAACGCACGTGCAGGCGTGTTCCAGTTTGGTGGCTTTCCAAAACAATGTGATTAGAGTCTTTAGATTTTTCTTCTGCTTGACTGGCAGAAATATTAACTGGGTGTCTTCTGAGGATTTTCTGGTGTTTGTAAATGTCGCTTTTTAATCTTAGAGATTGGTGGAGACTCCATGGCTGGGCAAAGGCTTTTTTAGTTGCAGGTGTCTCACTGGAGAGGTGTCCTCCTCAGTGATTGGGACATTTCCTGCATGTGATGTTCACTCTGAATATCAAAATGGGGGCACTTTCAATCATTTTGGCAAAAGGGAGGGGTGCTCAGGCCCCCCCGGCAAATGCCTGCTCTCTGCCTTTGGATGAAAAGGCCAGACATCACTCTTTATTGGCTCAAACATGTACATGATGGATAAAGGAGTAAATGGGGAACAAAACAAGGGATTCTTAAAAATCTGCTGTCTGATGAAATGCTGAGACAGGTCATAGTACAGCCGAAGTCAATAACCTGGAGCATCCAATCTGGGCAAATCACTGGTTTTGTACACACACACACACATACACACACACACACACACACACTATCTGTTTGTCTTAAGGAATGGGGTCCCAAACATTTCAGCCCACTACCCCACAAGATCAGCGGTAGAGACTCCTGACCTCCATTTATCTCGGACTGGCTGGCAGGTCCCCCTGTTAGATTTTGCTGATCCGGAGGGGGGGGGGTTACTTGCTAGAGTTATCACAATCGACTTGTTACCGTTACAATGGCTTTTTTATTTTTTATTAATAAACCCCCACTTTGGGAACCCCTGTCTTAAGGGGACCGTTTCTGCATGCTTCTCTAACATACTATTTCTTTCTTTCTTTCTTTCTTTCTTTCTTTCTTTCTTCAAAGACCTACATATCACAGCCATGTTTTTCTCGAGACTGATGTCTGGTTGGTCCCCTAATGAAAATTCAGCTGCCCTTTTCAGACATCTAAGTTATTGATTGTTCACGTCTTTAAGGCTTCTGCCAATATTCCTTCAAATAATCATAATGCTTTTCTCAGTGTTGATCCTCGGAACATTGTGTTGTTTCATTGTTTATGATTCCCCTTTAAGGTCAGTGCAGCATCAGTGACTTTGTTTAAAGAATAAAGAGCCACAGAAGCAGACATTTAAAATGCATTTATTTCCCTTATTGGTAAATTTTAAAGTTGACTTGCTTCCAATCCTCATGTCTGGTATCTGCCATGAATTCAGGCAGATTGCACAGGTCCGCATTCGGTGAAGTTGGATGGTTGGTACCTGGTGATTTACAACATGCAGGGAAAGAAAATTGAAAAAGTAGAGTTCAGACCACATGAACCGTTGCCTTTTACAACCCATTATTCCGCAGTAAAGGCTCTGTATAGACTGTAAACATGGACAATGAATGTAAGTGAACCACAGGCAATGGGAAGATTTATGACCTATATCCTGAACGTCCCCGTAAAGCAGGATGACTGTGACACACAGGAAAGTCCGGGGTGTAGAAAATAAGCAGAGCATGACGTTCAAGGTTTCTGTGTCGCTCTGTTTGTGGGTCTGTCAGTATCATTTGTTGCTCGTTGTGCCTTTTAACCTTCGTGATGGGCATCTTGGGCCTTGAAGGCTTCTGATGGGTCATAATCGTAGGACTGTGAATGTCTCCACAGGTCTGGCTTACTTGTTCTGCCACTGTTGCATCCATGGAGTCCTGGGACGGATTGACGTCTCTGGGGGCCCTAGGTTGACAAAGGTAGGGGGTCCTAAGTGGGCCGCTTGAGCTATTTATTAGAGCCAAAAGGGAATTAAAAACGATGGAACATCAACAATCTGCTAGCTGGGGGTGCCAGCAGAAAAACTTACCAATCTGGGTAAAATTTGCCGATTGGAGGGAGGGGGGCTGTCATATCAGTGGGTCGATGTCAGCATCCCCCCTTTAGCCGTGACGCTAAGATGTAGCCTACGCCTTACTCCACTGCTGAGGCTAAGGATAGTCTTGAATATTAGCATATGTTTGTTTAATTGTGTTCTCTCTATTTGTGTTCATAATTTGTCTCCCACTTCAGCCGAATAGTATCACAGATACAGGAAATGTAATGTTAGTCTTGCATCTGCGTTATTTTATTCTTCTGTCAGGCTACTTTGCGCCAGCAGCCTACCACTAGAGAAGCTGGGTAGCGTGAAGTCTCAAAGTAGGAATAGTCCATTATAGCTGGAACGGGGGGCATCTTTGTCTATTCTGAAAACTAACAATGCAAGTAACAGGTATGTTGCAATAATTTTAAATGATTCTGTTATCTTATATCCATAACTGTAACTTCTGTAAATTTTAAGGGGCCCCAGGGGGTGACCTACACTTGCCTTCTGGTAGGTCCGCCTCTGATGGGGCCCCTCCTTCTTAGTAGAGCCCATCCACACTCGCTTATTGCGCTCTAGGTCAGTTACCATGAGCACCGTGGGAGATGTGGTGGAAGAACCAGGGAAGATCTCTCCCAGCGAGAGGATGGAACTGTCAAGTGGTGTTAGTGTCAGAACCAATTTGGGGACCTTTTGCATGAACACCTCTGACTGGTCCCTCCACCCTGTGCCGTTTCTCTCTCCCCCCCCCCCGCTACCGCCTCAGGGTTGTTCTCCCTCTCCTCTGTCCCCAAGCTAAGTCCTACAGTACATCTGGTCTGGTGATGATATGCTGAGGGAGGAGCTTTGGCAGGTTGGCATGACGACTGCAGTTGCTTGTGTGGACAGCAGCCTTTGTGATTCAGCTCAGGTACAGAATTCAGAGCAGCCTCAGCAATCTGCGCACATTTACAAGGTGCACGTTTTAATGTCTTACACAAATCGTCATTACAAGACTTGCATACATATAAGACTACAGGAAGTACCGACATACTCCCATAACCACACTGCCCAAGCGGTGTAAACTTGTTAATTCAAAATGAGACCAATATTAACCCATATGGTAATGGATTTGTAACTAGAGTGAGCTGGTGAGGATTGCTTAGTCATGTGATGTGATGATTAAAGTGACAATCATATGCACACAGCAAACAAACGCATATAATATTGATAATTGATTAATGATTGCCTCAGTGATTTTCTCCTTTTGCTAAATGAAACATTTACATTTATGGTACTACATTTGGTATTATTCATAATTAAATGAAACAAATGTGTCGGCAGGATTATATAATCTAGAACATGCATCGTAGATGTTTTCTGATGCGACGTGTTTAACTGGAACCAAATTCAAATTTATCTAAAAGACATTTAATATTTTCGCTGCAAAACCTCAAAAATCGTAAGATGGCCTGGCCATTATTTTTGCATAAATGTCAACATATTAAATTTAAGCTGTCTTGTATAAAATACGGACGTTTTTTCCCAAAAACAGTGACAGTACGGACGAGCACACTGTGGCAAAAAAAAAAATCAATTTCATATATTCTCAATCAATAAGTGCACCTGGTCAATAAAGCAGCTTACAGACCATGCAATACACACACACACACACACACACACACACACACACAAAGTATATGTCATTGTTTATAGATTTGGCTTATAGTAGGCTATTCTGTCATTTGCATAACCGAATACGGATACATGCCTTTGTTTGCAAAAGGCAAATAAAAATGTGAAATAGTGTATGCCATGTATTACAGATTTTGTGTTGTACTATTTATAAGTCACCGCTGGCAGAGGGGTGACAGATGAGCAGGTGATAATGGGCTTGCAGGCGAGGCGGTAGACAAGCGTAAAAAAGTAGTGATTGTTTTAAGGGAGTAGTGATTACTGTATAGACAAGAAAGAGGCTCGCCGTCGCTGCTGCGTCCTCTTCCCCAAGACCTTGAGCGGCGTGTTTCTGCCGATGAGCGAAAGCTGGGGAGGGGGGGTGGGGGGCTGTCACGACGGAAGCTGGGCGCTGGGGTAGCGCTCCTCTCTCCATCCCCCGTCATCCGCCAGGCTCCGAGCTGCATCCCGCATCGTCCGGATCTCCATCCCACGCCGTCCGTCCTCCAGCGCAACTTCAGGCGCCGGGCTGCCAGACATTTACCGCGAAGGTAAGGGCATCTTATTTTTATTTAGTCAGTAGTTTCCGGATTGAAGGCGGCGAGGACAATGTGATTAGGTCCGTATGGACTGTCTTTTCCCAATTGAGCCTTCACCGTGAAGCCATCTTGCACGTCGCCCATACCTAGGGCTTGTTTCAGGATACCTTTGCTTTTTTTGTATAGGTTACTTCTTTTATGCCAAAAATAAACGCGTTTGCCTTTGTGAAGATGTTTTTTTTTTCTTCACGTAAATATTTTCTGAAAACATCCGTTTAACCGACAAAAAGTAGAATACAAGTAAAATATAATGTTACCACATTCAATATAAAATAGTCAACTTAAATAGCAGTACTTTGTGCTTAAATGCAACAAATCGTATATGAATATATAGAAGTATTAAGCGCTGCGTAATAACGCAAGGAAGAGCGCAAGTCGCATTTTTACATTTGCATTTACACTGGATTTTCGCTGCTCTGATGGCCAGCAGAGCACATTTTCCCTTAAGCTTTATAGCCAATTTTCTGGTACCTGCTCGTCATTTTTAAAGCTCTTATAGACGGACAGTAAAGTTGGTTCTTACAAAATAGCAAACAGCATTAAATTCGACACGCACTATATTGTTTGCTTTAGATATTTAACTAAATACGGAATACAATTGTGTCTTGTCCATTTTCAGGGGTAGCATAAATGTATTTATCTAATAAACGTCCCTTTATCGTTACTTGCGTATATTACATGGCAGGGAACAGGAGGTGATGATTTAGCGAGGGTGGTGCAAAATATGATCGGAGGAATGGCTCATATGCTCATATGCTGACGTGCCCCCCCACGTTTCCTTGACAATTCGCCATAATGTTAAAAAACAGGCAAATGTCTTTTCTGTTATCATTTCATCGTATTCGACAGCTTAGGGCTTACAGACATTTTTACTTATATGTTAATTATAATACAATAATGACCTTGCGAGAACCTCGTAAAGACGGTTTCTGATACTGCTGGACGGTACTCAATTCCCTTGTTCTACCTACTCGTTTGAGACGGCATGTTCATTCTTCTGAAACGACCTTGCCTTCAGAAAAAATGTGTCATATCGCCCTTTATTGCATATTTCATGATTTTTTTTCTTCAAACTGGACAGATTTAGCTAGCGACCTATAATGTTCAAGTTGGAGAAAATATTTAACATTGTCTGTACGATCACGCTGAATATACAGTCTTCTACTGGACATTAAGTGTCTAAATTGCCATACTATACACACTAATTATGAATAAACCACTTCATTTGGGGTTTTGTTTTTGGTTGAATTGCGTTCTGGGATAATCTTCATTTCTAGCAAGACGTGTAAAAATATTCACTGCCTTATAAAATTGAGATTGAATTGGGAAACTATCCTGGTAATAGGGTGGTACTAACTGGTGTATGGTGCTGTACTGGGAGGCTTGTGCCAGGTTTGTGTACTGACACTAATCAGGCTTTCTTGTCTTAACTTGCTTCATATCGTTTAGTATCCGAATTCTGCATCTGCTGGATGCTGGTGGGGAACTGGGTAACCGTGTACGGTCAGCCTAGATGGTAGCAGTCTATGTGACTGGGACAGCTTCTTGTGCTTGTGGGCTAGCTGAGACCGAAAGACTATTTCAAGCCAATTAGCCTGGTGCTGGTCTTTACATATTTTTTCACTAGAAAACATGGCTTCCTGTGTGAAAAACGAGTTGCTAATTTTTTGCACAGGTCAGCCACCGCGATCATCTTCTGACTGAAAAAGTGTAGAAACCTGGAAATGTGAGGACCCCCCAGCTTTGGTGAGAGCTGATGCCAGTTTGATTCTGCTGGTGGTGCGTTCAGCTTTGTGCCTGAATGAGCACAGGTGCCTCTCCACCTTACCAGAGTCCCAGAAGCATGAGCTTGTTTGCATCATTCATTAGTTAAGCTGTGATCTGCTTAGATAACGAGAGGCCTCCCCAAGTTTTGGTCTTTCACGGTGAATTTCTCACTTTGGCTGCTATGTGTGGCACGTTGTTTATGACCTTTGGGCGCTGTCCCCCCCAATCATCACCCAAGATATTCTCTGAATGGCCATTAGAGCGGCGCTCTTATCTGGTTTGAGGTGCTGGAGAGCCTGAGCAGCTGCCCCCTGCTGTACTTTGATTGCCTCTCTGGATCTGGGTGCCATTACCGCTCGTGATTAGGGGGCAGCGGTGGGGGTTGGAGTTGCCCAGAAGGCTTGCAGATGGCCTTCACTGTGACGCTGTGTCATCAGCGTGACGGGATGTGTCGCGTTGGGGCATTTAGCGAGAGGCTCAGTGCTGTTCGATTTTATCGCCCCCAGATTTTGCTTTTCCGTAAACCAGCCAGCCACCTCCCAGCCAGATAGCAGACATCCTCTTCCTCCCGTTTCCCTGGGAGGGGTTGGAATCCCGTAGCCACCCTTCTCCGTCACCCTGGCTCCTCGGCAGGGATCGTTCTGTGGATAGTTGGGTTCGGATTCGCCGAGTGTCTGAGCCTGTCAGTTTGCGCATCCCGGCGACCTTTGTGCATGACCCCTGCCTCGTGCGATCTGGCTACCCAGCCCATCTCCTCTGCCAAACCTTTTTGTGCTCAGACAGCCAAAACGAGAAGCGTTTCCTCAGCATTTCCCCACCATATTCCTGAGGTTTCCCCCCTGTAGTGATTCGCTTACTATGATTTATATGCGCACCTGCCTTTAAAAAGCACCCAGCACAACACTTTATAATTCTGCCTATTACTCTCTGCAGGCTTTTAGGTTGTAAACTATTCAAAGACCACAAGGCACAGGCATCTGTTATGGTGATTAATAAAAACACTGTATGGCAGAGCGAATCAGATGAAGGGTATAAGTGTTATTCCTCAGGAAACATTACAGATGGCATTATCCAATTTATTGACAATATTTGGAGATTTAAGGCTAGTATTAATTTTCAGGGTTAAATGGATGGGATAGTATCCCAAGGGGCTTTAGCAACCTCAACTAACCCTGAATGAGACATTTTAAATCATAAAGGGTCCCAGTCTTCCGAGCCCCAGTCTGCTGCTGTCAGGCAGACCGGATTGCAGGGTGGGGGCCTGCTGCTGTCAGGCAGACCGGACTGCAGGGTGAGGGCCTGCTGCTGTCAGGCAGACCGGACTGCAGGGTGAGGGCCTGCTGCTGTCAGGCAGACCGGACTGCAGGATGAGGGCCTCGACCAGCAGGCTGTGAACCATCCTGTCATCCTTTTCCACATCCGTACTCATATTCGTGTGGCCAATTATTCTCTTTATTATTTATTGTTCTAACTTGCACACCGTTTATTAGTACTGTGTCGTTTGTCGCCATTTCCTGCATACTTTCTATTGCACCACTGTCTCGTCTCGTTGTGTTTCATCATGCTCTGTCTCATTTGTGCCACTTCACAGCTGCCGCTGGAGGACCTTAAGTTTTTCACACACGTTTTTCATGCACTTGTACCTATCAAGCGTCAAGTGATGTGACAAAGTGATGTGACTCGATTTAAGGTCTTTCTGAAGTTGTTTCTGCGTGAGGTGCAAACTGCAGATTCAAATGCAAGCAGCAAGTGGAAACGCTGCGATCTCGTGCCTTCATGCCAGCTTAATTTATGTATCACCTCATTACACGTTTGTGAAAGAACAGATATTTTCCCTATGGGTGATAACAATAACAGCAGATGGCGGTGAATATATTTTCTAGCACGTACCTACAGCGGCAGCGTGCTGTACCAGCGCATGCTCCACAACCTCACCTGACCTGTACCTACAAAAACAGCAAGATTTTGCACAAACCTTTGGCATTTGAGTGCTGGAAAACGAGTTCCAACAAGCTCACATGCTGACTGATCACGAGCTTTCAGGACAAACTATTGTGTAGAATTTGATTGCCATTGTGTGTGGATCTTTCGAGTAATTTGCCTGCCAGTCCAAACCCATTAGGGGTGGTTAATTCAGATGGGTGTAGGTTCTTGTCAAGTCAGCTTACACACAGACACACAGTGAAATAAAATAGCATTTGTCAGACTCTAAAATGCCCTTAAAGGGGTTTCACCTCCATGGGCTTTGAAAGCTGCTCAAAGCACCTGACTCTGGTAACCAATGGCGCAATGAGCTCACAATGCATTGAGGTGTCGCCCCCAGAGACCTGCTACCATTACAACCATGCAGCCCTGAGCGATAATTGCGTTTTTTGGGAGGATAGTCAGTGTCATCTTATTGATGTCCTTCTGCTATGACGTATGCAACCCATGTTTGATCTGTGTTACATACAAAAATAGCCTGTTTTTCATGCCCAGCTAGCACATGTTTTTCATGTATCACTAACACCGGGAGACTCATTGCTCTGATTGACCCACCCTCCTTCCAGGCTGTCGCGCATTTCGGAACCTGAGTCAGCCTACATGACCTTTCTGAGTGACCTTCTTGTAGAAGGACACTGAAGAAGCAAAAAAACTAATTCAATATGCATGCGTCTTGGATACTGCTTGGGTTCCTGATATATTACACAGCGAATTTAGTACAACTTATAGCCATCAGCTGTGTCTGTCTGGAAGGCAAATTTCACCCCGAATGGTTTTGAGTTCATCTTTTTCATCATGAGCGAGCATCGAGCGATTACAATGGAAATTCTATCACGCAGGCCTTGAAAAGAGGATCAGCGTTTGGTGCCTCTGTGTTTCGATGTTTGGTGTCACTAAAAGGACATTTGTGTTTATGGATAATAAAGTAAATGATGTTCTGGCCTGAGTTTGGTGCTGAGTAGCTGCTGTGGTTGTAAAGATCTGTTAGTCAGGTTTGTTCGTTCTTGGTGTTCCAAGAATGTAAGGAATGGCCTAGACGATGAGGAAATTCTCACTGGGGTTTTGGTGAAACTCTGATCCACAAGCAAGGAAACATGAAAATCCTTGAAAATCCAACTGTTTCTTCTAGTAACCATAAACATGATGATTGATGTATGAGATTTCAATGGAGTCACTTTCTATAAATCCGTTATTGAAGTTTT